CTGGGGGGGCCGGAAGTGGCCACTGCACTCGTCTGGGCGACAGAGTGAGACTCCAACTCAAAAAAAAAAAAGGAACTAAAAATGCAGGGTCCTTTTTTTCATCTATGTATACATAAACATAGAAAAGCCTGGCAGGACATACAGAAAACCAGATGTTAGACATGCTTATTTCTGGGTACTGGGGTTATGGATGATTTTTTTTTTTTTAAGTTGGAGTCTCACTCTGTCGCCCAGACTGGAGTGCAGTGGCCACTTCCGGCCACCTCAGCCTCGACCTGCTGGGCTCCGACGATCTTTCCGCCTCAGCCTTCCAAGTAGCCGGAATTACAGGCATGCGCTACCACGCCCGGCTGATTTTTTGATTTACTGTAGAGATGAGGTCTCGCTGCCCAGGCGGGTCTCGAACCCGCGGGCTCAGGCAATCCGCTCACCTCAGCCTCCCAAAGGCGTGGGATTACAGGCTGAGCCACCGAGCCCGGCTTTAGTTCCTTTTAAAAACAGGTTATTGTGAGAGGTACCAAGTGATTACGCTACTTAGGAAATGTGATAGCAGGATGTGAGATGGCCCCAGATAATCCCCCTCCTGGCAGTCACACTTGTGTGCACTCCTTTTCCCACATTGTTCCAGGATGGAGCTGTGTGGCCAGTAAAATTCGACACGAACCGTGGTGTGCCACTTCTGAGGTTAGGTTATAACAGATTGTGGCCTCTGTCCCGTGCTCTCTCTGTCCTCATTCTGGAGGAAGAAGCCCTGTTTTGAGCACACCTCATGCAGGGACCCACATGGCAAGGAACTGAAGCTTCCTCCCCACTGCCATGTGAGGAAGCTCATAGTTGGTCCTTTGGCCCCAGCCAAGGCTTCAGAGCTTGCCAACAGCTTGTCTGCAACCTCATGAGAGCCTTGAGCCAGAACCACCTGGCCAGGATGCTTCCAGATTCTTGGCCTTCTGGATCTGTGAGGTGATAATGCTTTAAGCAGCTAAGTTTGGAGTTCATTTGTATTGGAGTGATACGGAACATACAGATTTGTGTCCCTTTAAGTAACTAGGTGCTGCTGTAAGGGAACTCTCCAGTGTGGCTTTGGAACCAGGCAGTGGGCTTTGAGGAGAGTGTTAGTGAAAGCCTGCAGTGTCTTGAAATTGTGAATAAAAGCCTCACAGTTGGAGCCAGGCATAGGGGCACACGTCTGTGGTCCCAGTTACTTGGGAGGCTGAGGTGGTAGAATCACTTGAACTCAGGGTTCAAGAACAACCTGGGCAACATAGCAAGACCCCATCTCTAAAAATTGAGAAAAATTTAAAGGTTTATTGTTTTTAATAAAGCTGCAGGTGAAGATTTGCAGAAAAGTGAGGCAAATATTACTAGAAGCTGGAGGCAGGAAAGCCCTGGTTGTAGAATAACAGTTCGGCAATACTGTCACCCACAATTATGTGAAAAGCACAAAATACAGCTAATGGATTAATGATCTAGCTAAGTCTATTTTCAGCCAGAGAACTGAAAATTCCACTGGTTTCTTTTCTTTCTTCTTTTTTTTTTTTTGAGTTGGAGTCTCACTCTATCACCCAGGCTGGAGGGCCACAGCATACTCACAGCCACTCCAGCGTCGACCTGCTGGGCTCCAGCAATCCTTCGCCTCAGCCTTCCAAGTAGCTAAAACTAAATGTGCACACTACCATGCCTGACTAATTTTTAAAATTTATTGTAGAGACAAGTTCTCGCCAAGCTTCCCAGGCTAGTCTTGAACCCATGTGCTCAGGCAATCCACTCACCTCGGCCTACCAAAGTGCTGGCATTACAGGCTGAGCCACCAAACCCGGCCACACTGTTTCTTCTTGCTGTTTGCTTATAGTAATTAATGAGAGGTATGGGATAAGTTAAAAAAAAAAAGAGACTATTAAACAAAAAGGAACCAGATCTCACTGGTTTAGAAGATTCCTAGCCTCTCCAGGTAGCAAATTATTATGCTAAAGTCTAGAAATGGCTTTGGAGCAAAGATCAATCCAGAGCACTCTCAGATAAACATGATTTAGAGGTGAAGGCTAAGACTAACTATAAAATCCTTTATTAAGACCTAAGAAAAAATCAAAGGTGATGACTCAATAAGACTCATGAAGGACTGAAAGTTTAAAAAAAGTTTAAATTAGCAGTAGCCTGATACTGAACTGAAAGAGAAAGTAAAAGTAAAAAGTAAAAGAGACCTTCCTTTGGACTCCCAAAATTTTACTGACAGGAAGCAAGGTGACAAAAATGCTTTGCTATAATCTGTGCTACCCTTCATGCAAAAGGATGACTCCAAAGGTGGAACCGAGGTCTCCCAGGGCAGAGTCAAGCCATGGAATGTTATTTCCTGGCAGGAGGAGGACTGAGTCTTTCCAGTGCTTGCCCTCATGGATTTCAAAACTGCTATGGGCCAGTAATGTGTGTCTTTCATTAGCAGCCTTTTTGAACAAGAGTGTAGCTGGGCATGATGGCTCGCACCTATAGTCCCAGCACTTTGGGATGCCGAGGTGAGGGGATTGCCTGAGCCCACGGGTTCGAGATCAACCTAGGCAACTTGGCAAGACCTCATCTCAACAATAAAAAAAATTAGCCGGGTGTGGTGGTGTGTGCCTGTGGTTCCATCTACTAGCTACTTGGAAGGCTGAGGTGGAAGGATCACTTGAGCCCAGCAGGTTGAGGGTGCAGTGGCCATGAGTGTGCCACTGCACTCCAGCCTGGGCGACAGAATGAGACTCCAACTCAAAAAAAAAAAAAAAGAGTGTCTACAGGAATCATGTCTGTCCCACCACTATATGCTGGGCTTTGTGAGAGTGATAGCTTGTCTCTAGTTCTCAGGCCTGCAGATCAGGAGGAACTATGTTTGAGAGCTACGGAAGACTACATCCCAGGAATCTCACCTGTCCTGGCCCTAATGTGGATGATAAGATCCTGAACTTGGAGCTGATGCTATAAAGGGATGAGACTTTTGAGCAGACTGGGAACCAGGTTCCAAGACAGGACCCAAGGACCACCTCTCTGAGTTTTCACACCTTGTGCTATCCCTTCCCATGGTATACAGGTTGATCTGTATGACCAAGAGAATTAACCAGAAGTAATAGTGTGTCCCTTCTTAGGTTATAAAGGACTGTACTTTTCTATCTTGGCTCTTTATCCCACTTTCTCTCTCACTACCTCTGTCTCATCATGTTATCTGGTAGAAACTTGTGCTACCAGCGCAATGGAGAGGACCACGTGCCAAGGAACTGAAGCCTGCCCTAGCTCCTTGGGTGAGCAGGGAGTGAAGCCTCCAGCCCCAGTCATATCTTCAGAGACTGCAGGCCCGGCTGACATCTTGACTATAACCTCATGAGAACCACTCAGCCAAGCTGCTCCTGGAGTCCTGACCCACAGAAACTGTGGGAGATAACAAGTGCTGGGTTTTGTGTTTTTTGTTTGTTTTTATTTTTGAGTTGGGGTCTCACTTTGTTGCCCAGGCTGGAGTGCAGTGGCATGCTCATGGTCACTGGAACCTCAACCTGCTGGGCTCAGGCGATCCTTCCACCTCAGTCTTTCAAGTAGGTGGAACTACAGGTGTGTACTACCATGCCCGGCTAATTTTTTGGTTTATTATACACCAAGTTACCCAGGCTGTTCTCAAACTCCTAGGCTCAGGCAGTCTTCTCACCTCTGCCTTCCAAAGTGCAGGAATTACAGGTGTGAGCCACCATGCCTGGCAACAAATGCTGTTTTAAGCTATTATGTTTTGGGAAAATTTGTTATATGATGATAGATAACTAATATAGGAAACATTCAGGACATTTTCCCCAATAATATAAACAGGCCTTGTGTAATGATGTACTTTCCTGGGCAGATACTTTAGCTTCTTTTGCTATTGCAATTTCTTAATCAGGATTCCTTTCAAAGCTTCAAT